CAACATCCAGTAGCTAATAGTTTTTTGGCCCCTATTACGTGGTAGCTGCGATCAAACAGTGGATGTTAATAGTTACATTCTTTTGTCAACCAATCCGGAGTAGTCTTAAAATTAAAATAAATTTAGTGATAAATATTGTAGTATAAGGTTGCGTCAAAACAATTAGTTGCAATACATTTAAATTAAAGAATTCGGAGCGAGCGAAATTCCAAGACACAGAGATGGCACGTACTTACCCCTCGTCGTTGTAAAACAGGTGTTAATAGGTTTAAGGCAATCATATACATTTAAAACAAATTTTTATCATACCAACTTTTTAAATGTTTCATATGTTCTTCCGCTTTTATTTTCACCTCAGACCACTTTTCTCTACTAATGACTATGGCGGTGTCATCTGCAAACCAAACTATGTCTCCCTGTTCCTTGGATATTCAGCTAAATAATTGACTAATATAGATATTAAAAAGCACTGGGCCAAGCTCCATCCCCTGGGGGATTTTAATTTTTATTCTATTTGATATGTAAGATACGTTTATTAGCAGTACATCTTACTCCTAGTTTTTCAATTTTTATTAGCAAATTGTAGTGAGCCACTGTATCAAAGGCATTCCCCAATTCGAGCATATATTTTACACACATTACAATTATAGATTAGGAGTATTTATACCATCACTTGTGAGAGAGTGCACATATTCCTCACGCTTAGGGAAAACAAGGATAAATTCATTTACTACAGAACAGTGTTTTGAATATATACATTCTGTTTGCAAACACATGGTCTATTGTTTCCAAAATTAAAAATGACGAAGAATAGTATATTATGCAACAAGAGCGGTGAACGGCATTTGACTCTCGAGTTAATTTGACACGAGCGGACCGAGCGAACGTGTTGCACACTTTTTCTACGACCGTTGGTTTTTGGGTATATTTTCGCAAAGCAACACAAATACATTCAACGACCGTCAGAATTGACAAATGTCACAATTCAAGGCGTGGTAACTATCTCTGAAAACATCCGATTGCTCCCAAACCCGTGCGGTAAAGTCCCGGAAATGTTCGAAGTGGCTCAGATCCGTGGGAAACGAAATTGACTTGGTAAAGTGACGCTTCCCGCACGCTAGATCAGTGTGTAATTAGGCATTTTATACACACTCCGCTGCGCTCCGCTCGCCGTTTACCGCACTTAATATATTATTTTTGTGTAAAAAAAGGACTTGGTAATTGATTTAACCCAAAATTCAACTCAGTTTGAAAGTTATCACTCCGCTTGTTACAGTAACTGTTTAAAAAAAATACAATGGTTATTTCGATGCATTTGTTAAAAATCTTTAAGTATTTTTTTTTTCATTTACATCAGAAAATTTTTTCTTCACCATTCTTGCTTTCACGAAGTATCTCAGATCAGACGCCCGTAAAAATAGATAACATTTTAGAGAAGAGAAAGAAGATAATGACGATTCTTCTGACTTGGAAAATTATACAACTTCAGGCGATTCTGATCCTGAAAAATGTATTGCTGTTATTGGCATGATTGTACTATATTATCGATACTGTTCAATAAAGAATTTTTCATTTTTCTGCTAGATGTGGATTAATAGTTTTTTTTTTAAGAATGCATTATTCTTTTCTTCATTCTAAAGCGTATCTTTACTACTTTTATCTATGCCAAGCTTTTCAAAAGCTGATTTACTACAATTTATTAAAAAGTCATCTTATCTAATCCAATAGTCAATTAATTATATCCTAGCATTGTATCTCTTTCTACGACGAGAAGTAAGCGTTTCTTTGTCTTGGACTTCGCTTGCTCCGATTTTTTTAATTTAAATGTCTCACAACTAGCATGTATGCCCAAATTTTTTGAGGCAACCTTATACTACATTATTTGTAATTAAATTAGTTTTATTTTAAGACTAGTCCGGATTGGTGGACAAAAGAGTGCAATTATTAACATCAACTTACCTGTTTGACCGCAGCTACCAGGTAATAGGGAACAAAAAAATGTAAACCACTGTGACGTTGCATATTGTGTATAGTATATACTTTTCACTGAAGTTAGTTTCTTTTGGTAGAAATGAAGGTGAAATTTAAAAAAAATATATTCCTTTTAATTTTAATGAAAGTAATCTTCCATCCATCTAGGTTGCCATATTCAATATTTTCATGTGGTTGACACTACGATAAGATCGATCAGTTCAGATCCTCTACTACACGATGTTTGGCTAAATTTTAGTTGTAAAAAAACTAACAGTGTTATAAATCTATTAAAAACATCCGATTGCTCCCTACCTATTACTAAAGTAAGGAAATTCGGTATTTTAGAGTAGGGAGTAGCCAGGGCTTGATGATCAAATAACATGAAGGGGCATATCGTAATATAAGTTGTAAGTATTTTACGTGCGACGTCAATGTCTGTACAGAAAACTGCTTTTGTGTTCGATACTCGCTTCGACATTATTATTTTAGTAGTCTACCCGACCATGAAGGCAGCCTTATTCTAAAATTGGGTTAGCGAAAATATCACGATTTTATCTGACCTTATAGAATGCCCTTAAATTGAGTGTACCCTTTGCGTAAACTTAATTTATTGAGTTTTGTATGTTAAATTGCATTTAACCCCCCAGGGATATATGAATAATGATCCAAGAGAGTATAATCAAGAGAATGATTCATTCAATTCACCCTATCAAAACTAATAGCTGCAACAAAAACAACACGGTGCTGAGCTATAGGTACACTCGAGCATTCTGACTATTGAACGCGCCATTTGTTGAGACGGGAAATTTCCAAATTTTATTGAACGCCGAAGGTTAGCGGCGTAAACTTGGTTCGCTAGTAGTAATTAATTCCAAGCGCTTGTTTATTAAAGGAAAATATTTTTATGAGCACTAACTCAACATAGGGTTGTAGGCAACGGACGTATTGAGCAGCGCATTTGCAAAAACTTTTCTGAAAATATTGGAATTTTTGTGTTTTTCTTAAATATTATTCCCACACTAACCAATAAACTAACCGGAACTATAATGCAAAATAATTTTGAAAATATTGAAATAAATCAGCTAAAAACCTTCGTTCATAATTTGTTAATACGACAGCTATGTCAATTACTTTTGCTAATCTCTACTCAGTAATGTTTCGGATAAGAAATTTCTTTCATTTTCAAAAACAATCGAGTTTCGGCTCTTTGTTATTACATATATTTTATAATTCAAGCAAAAATATCATAATTTACGTTTAAAAAGTAGCCGATGATGTCATATATCAAAAAGAGCAATTTCAAATACTAAGCGACATATTTCCAAAATAAAACTCTTCTTGATTTACTGAATTTATTTCTCAGTGACTCTCATTGTAAATCGAATTAGGTGTAGTGGCAAATTTTAGTGATTAGGGTACTGGTGTTCTCAAAGGTGAGAAATGCAAATTCGGTATTAATTTAAACCTTGAAGCAACCGAGAAGAACTTTGTTACATTGCACAACTTATCAATGTACGAAGAAAAACTTGTTTTCTCTCAATGATTTTAATAAAGTTGTCTCAATGTGTCAACAAACTATTATTTAACCTATATAACATTATTTCGAAATGACAATTGAAAAATCTTCCCGTAACAATTTAAAGCTATTTGTCATTTGCATGTTATACTTAGATATTACCTTCCTCGCTCTTGTCCTTACCCTATTTGAGACATACCTAATACCTGATACCTAAGTAGTAAACGTTACCATAAATTATTGTTATTATATATCGAACATGAAAAGAAAATTTTAGGAACAATTTTTTTCGGTGGCTATATAAGCAATAATATTTAGTGTCATATCAACGTAATCACAAATACAGTTGCTAAGAATGGCAAGAAATATCGAAGGTAAATATGTCTCTCGTATTGATCACTCTTAATTTTAATCAGAATTACATAATAGCCGGTTTTCCTGCGCATTCGCCAAAATATACTATAGGCAATAATATTTTCATATAAAATAAGATTATTTGGAATTTGGTTATTTGGATAACCGCAACTAACTATTCGCCGATTTAAAACTGGTCATTATTCATTAATAGATCGCCTGCAGAGCAAATTTTCTCAATTTACGAAGACCCACTGTACGCCGTGTTTCTCCGTCTTGCAGATCTAATTTATATAAGCGTTATAATGTTACAAATTACCCTTTCACCCGTCCTGAATACTTTTTTCACATTTATATTTTTATATCTAAAGTTTCTGGGCATCCATAGGAACAATTTTTTTTAATCCACTGTATACCACATTTATTTATTAATCATTTGTATTCTTCTGCCGGATATAATTTTGTCATTGTTCCATACCAATAGAAACTAGATGCATTGAAAACTTTATTTAAAAACCACCAAATCGCTTAAAAGCTGGTTATTTGATTCTATGAAGAATAAAAGCTTTTGGTACACACAAAAAAATTCACACATATAGGACAAATATAGCTTCTCATTTAAATTAACTTGTAACTTCTAAAAATATATTTTAATAAGACTAATTTGGGCACTGTATAAGCTAGAGTCTCATAGATAATATTTATTTCATATTCTTTGTGTATTTTTAACATTAAAATTCGTTCCTGCTTTTAGCACTTTTTATACAACCCGTATGGTATAATAATAATTTTTAATAATAGAGCCCTCATATATCCCGAAAGTGAACCTCTTTAAAAAAAATGGTGTACCCTGTATCATGAATTTATATTGCGTTGCCGCTATCGTATTTACATGGCTATAATATATAATATATAATATATAATCTTAATAACACTTTTCGTTATTTTTGTCACTTAAAATACATTTTTGTATCCCTGGAGCCGGGCCTGGCTCTTCCGTCCAAACTCCCAATCTCGCCTAAACAGGAAGTTAGGAATGTTCCAAATTCGTTCGTCGTTCTCTCATATCGGGACTCAGATAGTCGGTGTCGGAGCTTTTGCTCGTATGTATTTAGCGGTCTATCTCGCACCGCGTCGCGCCGTTACATTATTTCTCTCGACTCTGGAACAGTATTTTATTGAGACTGATTAATATGGCAATGAGTTGATGGCGTGATGTTTGTGAAATGTTAAAACGGACGCGTTTATACGAGCTGAGACAAAAGAATTTAGTGTAAACATGTGTTTCACATAATCTTTCGTGGGACCAAATTTCGGCCACTTAATCTGAGGTACGTACAAATGCGTTCAGCCCATAGATAAAATATCGTCTCGATTTATTTGTGTAAATGATTAGCAAAAATTGTAATTATAAACAGTTATTCGATTCAATCTTATCAATTTCGCTGTCGCTGAGTTAGTTTTGTAGCTCGGGTTTTTCTTTCTCGTTCTCTTTTTCGCGCAATGTACTTTAGATATTGTATTTGAACGTCGCGTCGCTGAATACCGGTAGCCAACGAAACGGACCAAACGCGGATGCATACACATGACGTCCTGGCTCAGATAATGACGGTGACCAACGCTTAGAACGCGTCCGATTCTTTTACATAAGCTATAGGACAATTTCCACAATTTTATGATTTAATAAGCTTATCTAAACATAGTGAACTCGGTCTAACTGAACTGCCAAGGGCGTGACAGAAAAGTGAGGCAAGTTTTACAATATATAATATATACCTACTCGTAGTCCATGTATTTATGGAATTATTGTTGGCGATAAACTGCCTCTAAAACTTAGATCATTCACCAGTTTAGCAATATTTAAATCAGCTCAGGCAACATATTTTTCACATTATATTATTTGTTGTAAATATTGTTTTCAAACTTATTCTATCCATTTAACTGTTTTCTCTGTTTTTTTTTTACTTCAATAGGACACTTCTTTATTTTTTCTTCGCTTTGTTTCTTTTTTGGTCTACCTGCCACATATACATACACATTACATTTAGTATTTATAATCTGGGACTCGGTCAGATGCACAAGAGCAACGGGATGGATGTCGCCCCAATTCATTCATCATTATTACTACTTGATTGATAACTTTATTTCTTTAATCTTTAAAAAAATATATATAAGTCAGAAAATAACAGCATTATTTCAAAAAAAAAATACAAACGTAAATTTACCATTTCACTAAATATCTACAACATTTAACCAATATGTTTAATTTCTTGAAATAGGGAAAAAAAATTCTGTGTATGTTTTAGTGACAACCAGAATAATAAGTAAAGAATATCAAACTACTGATTAATTCTTTAATTTTTAAATATACATTATCAACATGTCATACAAATGATACAATCAAATTAACAATATTTATATAATAACTGATAAGTTTATGTAATATGCGCTAGGTGTAAATGCTTTACTTGCTCATCAAAAATAGTAATAACATATCACAACAGCGTTTAAAATCATTTCACAAAGTAACCTGTAGCAAACGATTTCCTTTCCAAAAACTCAAACAATATGTACCATTAGTATTCACAAAGAAAAGCATCTTTATTAATACCCTCGTACCTCTACATCAAATTTGCCTCAATATCGATATTCCCTGTCTAAGCTACATCGTTTGGGACCATTTCCAGAGTTCAGTTGGATTCTACTAAAGTTGATAAAATTTGACCGGTGTTATTCGGTAGGTATTAAAAAAAGTCGATAATATGCAACACGCAGATTTCTTAAATGTTCGCCTGAAGCACATATGATTTAACCGAGAATTTGGCGTAACGTAAAATATTGTTAGACCATAGAAGAACGGCTTGATTGACTTAAGAAAGTTACTGAAACTCATCGTAGGCAATCCCCAGTTCCGCGGCGGATCAAATAAAGGGTTTATTCTGGGTACAGGGTGTCCCATTATGAATTACCAAATGGATAACTTTGTTAACATTAATGCTAAGATGAAATTTAAACTACCAAAATTGAAGCATTTTCCCCGATTCTACAATCAAAAATATAAAATAAAAATTTTGTCTGGCATTTTTTTTTTAAATTGAATTCCCTGTATTTGAATGTGTCAATCGATTGTTGTTAGGATTATTTTTGACAGATTTTGAAATATCGCGCATTTTATCTAATATTGAATGTAAGGAAGTTAGTAACTATTGCTTCAAAAATCAAATTAGCCATGATAGCTGTTGTCATGGAAACTGGCGCAGATAACTGTCATCTATTGAAATGGTGTTTATAACACTTATAGTAGGTGGAAAAATAACGGCTTACTCAAAAGAATTAGAAGGCAAATTCCTTGCAGTGTAACTTGATGTCTTGTTATACTTTCAAGGTGAGAATTTCAATCACTAGTATTAAAATTAAAAATAAAAAATTTTAATTGCTGAAATCAAGTATCAAAATATTTCTTTTCAGAGTATCCATCGAACTCTATCCGAGGTTACATGCAGGACATGAATTTAATTAAAAGTAAAATCCAACGGATTTTAAAGGCACAAAATCCACGGTTATAATTTGACAGATGAAGACAGAGACGTCTTGAGTTTTGAGGCATTATGTTAGAACCAATTTAAGAATCACCTAATTTTATTTACAACATACTGTTTATAGATGAGTCCTCATTTAATACGGCCGCACCGCGTCATTTAAGAAGCAAATATTCCTGGTTCAGCGAAAATCCCCACGAAATTTTGCCAATTAAAAAATCTGTACTTTTGGGACCCTATTTTTTCCAAGGAAATATGACGGGCGATTGATATTTCGATTCCAAATATAGTATGGCAACAGGACGGGCCACCATATCACAACGCAATAGACCTACCAGTTAGATCTATCCGCATAATATCCAGTTGGATAAAGGTTTGAAATTTTCAAAAAAATTATTCGCAAAAAACCCCATCGCCTCAATTTCAATTGATTTTTATGTTTTCATATTTTGGTAATGTGAATGCTAGTTTAGACTGTATTTTATTGCAGTGTCTGTTAAAAATGTCTGATGAAAATCAATGTACCAAACTCCCAAAATGTATTTATATCCTAACAATCCAGATCTTGTTCCCCATGAAACGTTTTTGTGGGGAAAATCTGGAAATACAAAACAGAATACGAGAAGAAGTTGAAGCTCTAAATGGGCAACCCGAACTTTTAACTTGCTACATTTAAAAAAGCAACTAATTTATTTTTACGGCTAATTTAATTTTTGAAACAATAGTTTTTGACTTCCTTACATCCAATATTAGATACAATGCGCGATGTTTCAAAATCTGTTAAAAATAACCATCTAATATATACTTGAAATTAGGAGAAAAAACACAATCGATTTACACATCCAAATACAGGGTATTCAATTTAAAAAAAATCGACCTGTCAAAATTTGACAGATTTTTTATTTTATTTTATATTTTTTATTGTAGAATCGGAAGGTTTGGGAAAAATGATCCAACTTTGGTAATTTAAACTCCATCGTAGAATCAATATTAACAAAGTTATCATTTAGTAATTTATAATGGGACACCCCGTATGTGTAAGAAGATTATATTGAAAAATTGAAAAATATTTAAAAATACACATGCAGTAAAAGCGCGCTCAAAGCAACTAAAAATTTACTTGCAAGCATATAATACAAAACAAACTAATTGTCAGTACTTCGCTGTAAGGTATTTTATTTCTACAAATGATTTTTTTTGTAATTCTCGATGTTTCAATTTTGATTGGTTACTGGTAGCATCTCTGGTAACGTATCGATTTCGCGCAAACGGTAATTTAAAAATACAACGAACAAAATATTTTTCCTAAGAAGAAGTCGTAAAATACCGTAAGATACTCAAGACAAGTTGGTTCGAGCTTAAATTGCATCGTTGGGTGGGCGCTCCTGGCATTCTCCTAAGTGGATTTGTAAACGCCTTGTAAATTCCAGTAATGTGTAAAAACGATCTTTTAAAATAAATTGGAAACAACAATAAGTGTTCCATTCTCAATAGAAGAAACAATCTTACTATTCTACTACGCAAGATGCTGTTAAAGAAATTAGGCGACATCATTTTTTTATGGAATGGACTGCTGGTATGTGTGGCTTTAACCACGTGGTTTAGTTTGAATTCGAGCAAAATAAAATGGTTTTGTGTTAAAAAAAGAAACTTGTGTAATACTATAGTCGGCTAAGCCGTACCAACGAAGTAACAAGGCCACCATCAACACGCCCGCATATGTCACTGGAGTCAGATTACTTTTTATTGTAAAAAGGATTCGTAATAATAACGGCTACTTTTAGTGGATGTCCTTCGACTCTCAACAAATTTTTGTTATAAGTAGACAACATTTTTGCCACTAGTTTGTTATGAATTTTTGGCACTGTAATTTCAGTCATTCTTTAAAAATATTAATAGGACATTTAACATCCACTTACATATTTTAAGTGACTAAAAGTTTTCTTAATAAAAACTAGAGACACTAGTCATTACGATAATATTATCCGAGAGAGAGAGAGAGAGAGAAAACTATTCCAATTTCAAATTAATTTCAACAAATATGAGGTTAAACGCTTATGAGAAGAAGTTCAGATAAGTGGAATTTCTATTGATGTCTCCTAAACCTTAGAAAAAAAATTGTCAGACAATTTTTTCTGTATTCTGTAGAGTGAACAAAGCGGCTCTCGAAATAATGAACCCAAAAGAATTTGTTGGTCAACAAACACGTCAATACAGGAAAACGATTTTAAACGTTTTATTTTATGTAATTGGATCACAGCAGTTTCTTGCCGATTGCGATTTTAAGTTTTTAAATCTAAGTGTAGGGTTAACAATAATTTTAGCGGACCAGCAAAAATGAAAGCCTTAAGACATTCAGAATGTCCACGAATGGAAAAGGCTCTTTATAATTAGTTTCTAAAGCAAAGAGAGAAGAAGCTTCCTGTGACCAGTTTAAGGATCCAAGGGAAAGCCAAGCTACTCCACAATGAATCCAAAGAATCGTCTTCTTTTCATGCAAGCAGCGATACGTTACTTAAAGATTTCAGGCAAAAAATCGAGATTGCAGCCTGAGTTTGTTGACGCTATCAAAAGAAATCTAGAAAAGAAATATATAGATCTTTAGCTATCGAAAGCTCAAATTTACAATGCCGACGAAACTGGTTCATGTTGAAAGTTTTTTCCTAGAAAAACAAATGTAGCTCGCGAGGTGAAAACAGCTCTAGAAAGAAAAACCGAAAAACAAAGAGTGGCCTTTCTATCATGCACAAACACGGCAGGTATGGTCTGTTCATATATATAAGAAAGTGACCAATTGCTTTTGAATGGGATTATCCAAGGGTGCTCAGTAACATACAATGCAACAAGATTATTACCTAAAGTTTCGGAATTTAAATTCAGGTAAAATTGTGGTCCGTAATAAAAAATAATTTTATACCTACCTGTGTTTAATATTCTTTGGTTTGGTATACTACTTAGTTTAAGTTTATTGGTAATCATTGTTATTTCGTGTGTAATACAGCATGTGTTGAATCTTGTGCGAATTATGCAAAATATGTGCGAATCCAGTATATCTCAAGAGATGCTCCCGGCCAAATGTAGAAAACACTATTCTATTGAGACTAAGGAAGTTAAAAACAATGTTTATTTGACTCTCACTGAACGTGCTGCCAGCAAGCATCTTTAGAAGAAACGGCCACATTGACGAAAATTCCAACGTCAACTGTATGGAAAATTGTGAATAATCCTATTTCAGCGAGGAAAAAAAGAAGCGATGCTGACATTTTCTCGAGAGTAGATGAAAGTGATCAAGATATAATACATCGTAAAATTTACCAATTATACGAGGAACAAAGCGTGCCTACATTAGATATCTTAATTAGGAGGCTTGAAAAAGATAAAACCGGTGTTAAATGTGACAGAATTACCTTATGAAAGTGTATTCAACACATGGGTTTTAGATTTACAAAATTGGCGAAAGGCAAGTTTTAATGGAATCTTTCAGAATTCGGAAATGGCGACTGGAATATCTAGAAAAAATTAGGATTTACAGAGAACAAGAAAGGCCAATTATTTACTTGGATGAAGCCTGGTTCGACACTTATGATACCCCGGAAAAAGGTAGGGTTGACTCAACTGATAAGTGTAAAACAAACGCGCCATCAAAAAGAGGTAAAAGAATAACTATTTTGCATGCTGGCTCTAAAGATGGTTAGATTCCATATGGACTTTCTCTGTCTGCGAAAAATATTAAAGATTCTTCTCTGGATTACCATGAAGACACCACCGCTGATTTATTTGAAAGTCGGTTTAAAAACAAACTAGTTCCAAACATTCCTCGTAATAGCGTAATTGTAATGGACAATGCAAGTTATCACAGTAGACAGTTGACTAAAACCCCTTCCTCATGTGACACAAAAGCAAGAATTCAAAACTACATCTATAATAACGACATTTATTTTCACGAAGATTATATCAAAAAGCAATTCATTGAGGTTCTACAAAGCTTGAACTTACAAAAGGAATACGTCTGTGATAGTTATGCAAAAAATCTAGGGCATACAGTTTTAAGGCTTTCACTTTACCACTATATATTTAATCCCATTGAACATGTTTGGCACCACCTGAAATCAGCCATTCGTCGTAACAATGTTTTTCCCCGTGTTAACTCCAATGTCCTCAAACTTATAGGAACCGAAGTTTTTAACATCCCTCCACAAAGTTGGGCAAATTAAATATGTAGAAAAAGCAGAACAATCGTATATCCATATTGCAAATAATATAGAACAAATAATAATTAGAACAGGCGATGATAGCGATAGCGATGATAGAAGTAATTTAAGTAGGTAATAAAAATAATTTGTAATTTTATTTTGGATTTAAACATAAATACATACATAAATAAATAAATATTGTTTAGTATCTTTCCTAACAAAACCCCAAATAATTAAATTCTAAGCAAAGTACGGACCTGTTCGGCCATATTTCATTCTTACAGCTTGCCCGGGTCTTTCCTTAATTCGTATCAGTTAGTCACTTTCTTATATCTATGAACAGACTATACGCACGAGTTAAAACCACTAGTGATTAAAAATCCCAAAAATCCTCGATTATTCCGAAATATCAAGTGTCTTCTTCATTATAGAAATTTCAAAGCAATGACAGTAGCAATTTTTAAAGAATGGTTTCATAAGATATTTATTCCAGAGGTAAGTTTAGCAATAGGAAATTATTTTAAATTGTACCGTTTTTAATTTCGATGCTGCATTTCTTGCTGCTCATACTTGTGATTTCCAGTCTTGTTTCAACGTGTTTCAGGTGACAATCTGTTCCACTCTTTGACAACTCATCGAGTCATCTATTGATACAACCGATGAATCTAAATGGGATTTCTTTAACAAAAGTATTTTATCGCACAAATTTATTGTCGCCGGTTACTGGTACCGATCAGGATATAGGAAAAACTTTGAAATCTCTTTTTTTTAAAAGACGCTATTATGAATTTGACATGGAAAAACTTAGCTGAACGTATATGAAACACACAATCTACTTTCGCCATTAGCCAACGAAGATGAACATAAAGAAAACATTCCTTTAAATATTCTAAGAAGTAGCTTACGGAATGAGGAAATCAGCTGCAAGCTTTCAGTCCCGAAGTTCACGTTAACACCATGGATGTAGACGACTAGCATAAAGATTTATTGCCGGATAAAGAGTCGGAAGACCACAGCGAAAGCAATGAAAATAGTCAAGATCAAGAACGGAAAGAGGTTAAAGTAATAAGAGAACCCGAATCTACTGGTTTTACAAAACTTAAGAATGAAATTGCCTAAAAAAGGTTTATGAGATAAAAAATACAAGCAAACATTACCCCATTTTTCGATATAAAAAAATAAATTACATTTTTATTAGTATGTATAACGTTTTTTTTTATGAATTTTAGAAATATTCCGTATAGTCAACAAATCGATCCAGTGAATTGGCTTTGCATTACATCGAGAATATACTGTATTGAAATCAGCGGCCATAATCAATTTTCGTAGAACACATTTTTGAAAAACAAACCCAGTTGTTCTTGGAAGTGTCACTTTTATTGATTTCGATTTATTTTTATTGTCTGATCGTAGAGACCAAAACAAGTCAAGATATTTACGTAATAGTTAGTATCTATCTACATAATATCTAGTTGATAAAGGTTTTCTTCGCCAGGCAAAATTTTCCAAAACTTTGTTTTGAAAAATGTCCATCGCCTGAATTTCAATTGATTTTTATGTTTTCATATTTTGGCAATGCCAATGCTTGTGTTTGGACTGTATTTTATTGCAGTGTTTTCCTTTCTCATTCCTTGTTTGTGTCTGTTAAATATATCTGGCGAAAATCAACGAAAAGATATCAAACTCCAAAATGTATTTTTATAAGTTTCCTCGAATGTGGAGATTTATTGGGATATCATTAGAATATTACGTTTGCAAGGGTAAACGGTGTAGTTTTTTAAGATTTAAAATTGCTTGATTTTTCATTAGTCTGAATTTTGTTCCTATTGTTTTATCAGAACATTCGGGGTATTTTCGATTGCCCGTTTCAACGGAATATCCATACAGTAGCTTCTGTTATTTATTTTAATAATATTATTAATGTATCTACAAAAACATTACCTGTGCGCCACTGGTCGATGCTAAAAACGGCAGTTATCAAATTCCCGCATGGTTTAAAGATTAACAATAAGTAAACGTGGTTTGGTAGAGCCAACGTAGACTCACCCGACCCCTCAGATAATAAGCTTTGACCGGCAGATTTCAGAGAATTATATTTACAATCTTACCGGAATCGCCGATAACGAAAATACACAGAGGAACGTATTTACGTTTAGAATAAATACCAGAAACTACGATAGCGTTTTCGTGGTCCGTTAAAATGTTATCTTAAAAAATATTCCATTCCATTCCATTATATTCACCTTCAAATATGGCGTTACCGTTGTTTTTTTTTTCGGTATTGCAAATATCTCTTAAACTTAGACGACCAATAAAAATAACTTTCTATGTTAGCTATAATTTTCATTTAAATGATATCTAGTTCTGGTTTGATTGACTTTGATCCTCACTTTTTATCAACCGTCATCATATTCTGCCAGGTAAGCAGCATTAACCAAAAAAAAATATATGTATATTATTGATGATGTTATATTATTATTTACTTAGCAAATCTGTGTAATTTAATAATAATAAATATGTTAGTGTCTTAATAATATATTTTGCAACAAGTATGATCGCTTGCATAGTTGCTCTATATTAGCGAAATTGATATAATATAATACCAAATTTCTCTCTTCTATGATAAAATATCCTGCCGCTCTTGAATCTCAGTTTATTTACTACCTATAAAATCGAATATTCTAATACGCACGTTATTAGTCATCATTTGGAAAACCTTCTCCCGTTTGCTTCTCACAACAATAAAACTGCTTTTACCGGGTGACTTACAGACTATTATTTTTCAGTGACACCACTGGGAGCGAATAATGCCGGGGCAACAATAAAGCATCTATAATCACCCCAGATGTTCTCTTCCTTACATTCGGGTCACAGTCGACTGGGAGTCGCGACGTGCCGATAACAAAACCGTCAGCTCTAACCTTAACGTGCTCTTTTTCACTGATTTCTCCATTCATCGGCGGTCCAATGCAGATGGTCGGTTCCGACTTACCCTTGGAATTCGTATGTAGTTGTGCGACAGTGTTTAGTGGAAGCGGCGGATATACCTAGTCGAGTAATGGTAAAAAAAGGGGGGGTAGGTAAGTTAATTGCCGAGTTAATGAGTAATACGGAATTGGCGGTGCTAATAGCCTTTTCGTTTAATTGGATCGATTCGCCCAATGGCTATGATAAATGGGGGCGATAAAAATGCCCAAATTTGCAAGTGCAAATTTAAGAACGACCTTAGAACTCGCGCAACATCCTTTAGAAACTAAGGACTTCTAGTTGCAAGTGCAACTGAGGAAGAGCAAATTTCATAAATATAAATTCTTAATCTTTTCATGCTTGACCTAAACTTTTCTAACCATCTATTGTTAACGTTATATTTCTAATCTCTAGTCAAAATGAATACTAATTCGATGTAAAAGAATGTCTTAATATATAAACATGTCTAAAAATTTCACGACTAACCAAAGCCGGTGCGAAATCCAGTAAATCAATGAATGTTTTTTCCTCGTCATTTAAAAGATATTACAAACATTACCTAATTTGAAATGTAATTCAACTCAATTAAATTTTCAAGTTTAACTAACCAAAAGGTTTGTTGGAAAGTATTAAATTTCACTATTGTTTTACTATTTTTTGCTGTTGTTTGAAACTCAGAAGACTGACAATTGAATGATAATTGGTTGTAGAGAATACAACATAGTCCAAACGCCTTGTTCTCTGATTACTCAACGTTTATGTTAAATTTTAAAGTTGAATTAACTGTTCGAATTTGATAATTGTTATATATATTTTAAATGACCAGAAATAAAATTCCAAATTTGGCAAGCGAGCCCTTTAAAAATAAAAAAACTTAGGAATGACTTTTGAAAAAAATAGCCATTGTAATATTGTCATATTACATGAAAAATAGGGCAATTTAAAATACTATTCTACGTTTCCGAGCATATTTCCGAAAAGAAAATTTTCTTTGATTTAATAAATTTATTTTGAGTTAAAATTAATTTAGTAACCATAATAAGGGTATACCCGGAGATATATCATATCAAGCTGGTTAAAAAAGTATAATGTTATTGTCAAACTATCCTTACTTTCTATCTAAAGGATGTGCGAGTTCCACAAACACTTTGAATTTTCTGCCAATTCTACGGTTACGAAATATATATTGATGGTGTAGAAAAATCATGAACAAATCCAATACAAATGAAAGAACGATACCGTCCGCAATCAAATTAGTGATAATGATTTTCTCCTTGCAGACGTCTGCAATGAATTTAGTGGCCACTCATAAGTACTCAGGAATTCGCCCAATATTATGGAATCAGATCGGAATGTGAAATTGGGTAAGATTTATTTATAAGGTATAACACGTCACCACACCTGAACTACTTTCTATGAGAAAATAATTCTTTCAGAGTGTCAGTAATTTCCATATAGATACTAAATTAGCACTAATCCGGATTCTTCAGTAATCCCGACAAAATTTAAATATTACTTATTTACATTATGTATTCTATAATCCGTATTCTTTATGTATTCCACAGTCCGGATCATGTGTTCTTCGATAATTTCATGTAACTTTTATGGTGTTCCTAGGTGAATCCCCTAATTATTAAAAGACGAGTCGAGATTTTCTTAGAGGTTAAAATGCATCATGGCACAAAAGTGAGCATACAAAACTGCGTGTGGGTGATCATTTTCTTTTATTTTTTGGTTGTTAGTAAATGTTTACATTTTTTCTGTTAATAAATGCTACAACAGTGTGAATTTTTATAGTTTTTAAAAAGATTCCACTAATCCGAGTGTTTCACTAACCCAAATTGCCTCGGTTTTTGTTAATCCGGATTACCGATGCTCTACAGTGTGTCATAAAAAATTCCCAGCTTCGATTCTCAATCTGCTCGTCACTTAGTCACAGTAGTATGTGAAAAGGCTATTGGATCCTATACTTACTTCATCTAGTGGGGCCAAGAGACTTTCCAGTTACATTAAAAAGGAAGCCCGAAAATTCTAAATGTTTAGAAATCTACATCCAACATTTTGACGATAGAATGTGTTCTACCCATATAGCTATTACATAGTACGGTAAAAATTGATGCGCAGCAGGCGGCATTGTTATTTTCATTGAGAAGGGAATGGTTTTCAGCGCATGCGTCTCCATTTCACCCAATAACGTGCACGTTGCACCATCTTTCTAAACAGTGGTTTCCACACACTTAACTCGGGAGATCTGGGTATATTTTCAAAAAATATTGCCGTAAAAATGCCACATAAAAAATAATTGACGATGTGTCAGCCGCCATGTTTATTATTGAATGTCACAAGATCATTGATTAAAAACGAGGTTCTGGCCAATCACAAATTTTTTTATTCCTAAAGCAGTGACCAGAGTATACTCTAATTTCTTACCTGTTAAATATATGGACAACTTCTGACACAATATAGTGCTCAACAATAGTAAACCAGTTTAGATGTCAGAGTTGCCCAAATACAAAATAAAATAAAATCACGACAATTGGTAGATTGAAATCTAAAACACATAAATCTCAAACTGTTTTACAATTTTGCCAATCAATTTTGGCAAAAATTATTCATTCCGCTTTGCCTTAATATTTTTTAATAAAAGTTACCATTTTGTAATGTCACTGTTAGTCAAAAAATTAACTAATTGAAATTGAATCAACTAGACAAGAAAAAGTTGAAATTGCGGGTAATGCTGACAATTTCTTTCACACACTAAACGGAGTCGAATTATTTCGCTATTTGATAAATTTACCACACATCAACATCAAAAGACATAGATATAATGTCAAAAAACGTAAGTTTTCATTAGTGTTATAAAAGACATTCTGAGTAAAAAAATCTTTCATTTTTATTTTAAGTTGTTTAAAAGGTGGGTTTTTAAGATGTGACGGGAGGACATTATAAAATTGTACATTAATCTTATTAGATTTCGAGGCCGTCAGTCCGGAGTAAACAGGTGTGACCATATCAACCTGCCTGGTATTGTAGTCGTGCAAAACGTAACACCAACAGCGAAAAATCTACGTTTCTCAATATATTTCCCCAAAAAAAAAAGTAAATAGTAAAAATTAATTTTCTTGTAATATTACTAATAAATATTACTTTATATCCGTCCAAGCTCCGATGCTATGTTACAAAATTGTTTTAAATTTGGTTGTTCCCATTTGATTGTATTGACACTTCGCAACGATATTACTCCGATATGAAATTCACTGTAAAATAATCCGCTTTCCGCATTTTTGAATGTCACCGTAGATATTTGACTAGCGACTTTCCGTCTCTTCCCGCATGTATTCGTTTGCTAGAAGCTGCATTATGAAATTCGTAGTTGCCAGTTTTTAACTGCGTGGAAAAAGATGCGTTGAGGGTATTATCGATTAAAATGCAATTGCAATTATTTTTTGCGGATTTCTTCGAAGTCTCTGGGAGTTTCATTATCCCCTTACATTTGTAATTATTATTGTAAATGTATTCAGCAAATATCGTATTACATAGGTGAGAAATGAATTCAATGACAAAATGAAATCAGCGAGCTGAAAAATAAAGCAAGTTCCGCCGTTCCATTCTGACGATCCAGAAAACATTTCCGATTGCGTTTTCTCCCAGACCCTTTTCATTCTCTTGCCCTGTGTATTTCGACGACTGGACGGAGAACTGATAAGGGCTTGTGGGAAACCGAACAACTACGAAATGGTTGAGCAGAAAATTGTTAATAATTTTAATTTACCATTGTTTCTTCGGCTTTGGTTTGATTATCGTTTTGTTCCAAAAGCATCTGGATGATTGCGCCGAGGCGTGAGATTAGTGATCACTTGAAAACTATCAAATTTATGTAATATTTGGCGATAAAACTAGGAAAATACAACTAAGCAACTCTGTTCTAAAGCCCAATTTTAACTATGGATTTATCGCCTCGACTACAATTTACAAAATCAATACCGCGCGAACAAATTTAATCAGACACTAAGGCATAAGTTCTTCATTATTCATCTTGACTTAGGGAATTTGTAGCATTTTTTTGACTCAAAATTAAGCATGGCGTTTCCGATTTACTAAGAAAAAAACAGGACTTTTATTAAAAAGTTGTTGATTGTTTTTCGAAAACCAAGTGTTATGAGCTCATTTCCCTTTTGTCTTTGGTAGCATTATTTAATTTTAAGATTATATTAAATGCTTAAAGTTGGGCAAATTCTGTTAAACATATAGAAAAAGCACACCAATCGTATATCCATATTGTAAATAATATAGAACAAATAATAATTAGAACAGGCGATAATAGCGACAGTGATACTGATATATTATGTGAATAATTTTAAGTAATTTAAGTAGGTAATAAAAATAATTTGTAATTTTAATTTAGATTTAAACATAAATACCAAAACCTACAATAATTAAAACCCCAAATAATTAAATTCTAAGCAAAGTCGGACCTGTTCGGCCATATTTCATTTTCACAGCTTGCGGGTCTTTCCTTAATTCATATCAGTTAGTCACTTTCTTATATCTATGAACAGAATTACCTTCATGGTGGTAAGATATCATCGATCGTGGTTTGGATGATATATATTTTTTTAATATTTCTTATAGATACCCAAATTAATTATCTTCTTCAAAAATCAATTTGCATCGATCTCAATGTCCTTTGCAATGTATTGCTGAAAATGGCGAAAGCTGTTTACACCAATAAGGCAGGTCTGTAAAGAATCTTAAAATGTTTAGCAATCACTGTTTGAATTGAATTTGGAAGACACAAAATTTACATAAAATTGAATGAGAATTACGGCGAATTTTTTTATTAAAAAAAACAGTGTCTTATTTTTGTTTCTCACAAAAAGATTGCAAAATGCATTTTGATGCTTAAGTTCTTTAAAATCCCAATTCCCTCATAGTGTACGCCACAATTCAACTGCTGTTTACCCTTCGCAAATTTCAACTAATTAACCGAGTTATTTATCAATTTTATCAGAATATTTCATTTAATATTCAAAACTAAATTATTGACTTGATTATTTATTAAATAAATTTTAATAATTATTATGTGAGAACTATAGTCGGTGGGTGCTTTCAATTTGTTATACCGGATATATTTCAAAATGACTTGAAATAAAAATATGCAATTTGGTATGTTGATAGGGTTGAATTTTGTAGCATAAAAACAATGAAATTGCTTTTCCAGTTTCACCGAAAATAACCTCAACTTTATTATATTTTTAATTTGTTGGACAATTCTAAACAATTTTTGTCTGAGATGTTTGATCATAAAATGAAAAATCATGAAAATCTAATTCCAACTATCGAAATTTCCAACGATTTTTCAGTCGGCTATTATCTTGATTCGTGTTTAAAAGCCGTCGTCGGTTGGAATTACTTCCTAACGTTTCGCTAGCACGAGTGGCGAGCTTCTTCAGAGGTCCTTCCATCTCCGATGTTGGACGTAGACGTAGTAGACGTAGTCTACTACGTCTACGTCCAACCGACGACGGCCTTTAAACCCTTATCAACGAGCCGCGAAAGCCTTAACCGATTTTTCAGTCCATTTTGCGTTTGTGGGTGATACTTTATGTGGAAAATCAATAGTTTTTTAAATAAACATGTTCAAAAGTGTCATAATTTTAACTTTTTTTTTATTTAATGACAAAATGAAGTAGGCCAGAACAAACAAATATTACGGTTACTTCTTGTGATATATTTTTGAACCGCTTTATTTATTGATTGATTGTATGTTAAACAATTTTTTTTTTATAATTGTTTCGCGAATTAAAAAAAAATAAAAATATACAGGGTTTTCCATTTAAAATAACAAAGTTTCCGATGAAATCGGAAACGACATTCAGTTGTTTTTATACGATAAATGTTCACAATATTGAACCCTATCAACTTACCAAATTGCATACTTTTATCTCATGCCGTTTTAAAATGCTGCTGTGGACAGTATATTATCTTCGTTTATTTAACCGCTGATAAGCATACTCAATATAACCTGTTACTTACCTCTGCAACTTTATTTATATTTAGGAATTTGCCTTTATAAATCCTGGTTCATGTTAATACATGACCTTAAACCCTTAAACAACAACCCACAAACAACAATATTGCTATAAAGGCAAACAACGAACAAAAAAAAACAAGGAAAAAAAATTGCAAAAGCGAATTGCAACATTCGATTGGAACTGTAAAAGGATGATTCACATTAAGAGTGGTAGTAACGGTTCTAGGGAACCAAAAAAAGAGTTTTCATATTGAAAAATATGTCCCTGAGGGGACTACTTGTTTCCGTGCATAGCAGTAAACTTCTCTCGGAAAAAGCACATGTTTGTTAAAATGTTAAAATCAAAAATGTCGATTTTGTTCCAATTTTCCAAAACTTCCAACAACTTTTCAGTCCGTTTTGCGTTTGTGGGTGATATTACAAAATATAATAAAATTTTGGTATTTTTTGTTTGTTTTAGACATCTCTGAATGTTGGACACGTGATCTACTTGGGATGCGACAAGGAACAACCATGCTGCTGATTTTTTTATATACGCATTTATGTATCTTATTTATTAAATACAGTGAGTCTCAAAACTCCTGATACACTATTAAAATATTCATTTAAAGCCATATTCATATTTAAAACCAATTTTCTTTCTGCTGAAATTTATTTTTTTTAACACTATAAATATATAATTTTTTTAAACACAATCCAACTTGCAAATAGATGTTAAGGTTACAAAAAAATTAAACAATATTTTAAATTTTAAAAATGAATGTTTTGTAAGCCCGCGTTATAAGTCTATAACCGCTTGGAATCTCTCGACATAGATAAAACTAAAGTTTCAGTTATGCTTGAAATAATTTCAGCCCATGCTGACTGTAAAGCAGTGTAATATGTAGACTTTTGTGACTCGCTGTATGTCAAATAAAATTAACATATTCATTTTTTTCCTGAAACTATTTATTTAAATCCCTTGTCCCCTTTTCATATTTTAAAACTGAAGTATTAAAAATTAATTAAAAAATTTAATGTTATTCTCAAGGGCAAGGTCCTAGTTAAAAAAACATGTTCAGTATTACTAGAGATATAGTGGCCTATAATACAGGAACTTATGAAGCAACTATGAAAAAAATTCGCGGTTTTCGATAATAAGTTTGAATGAAGCATTTTTACGGGAGTATTTTCTCAAAATAATGTCTAGACCCACTAAATATTCATTCAAAAAGGAGTTTAGTGTGTGGATGTCGTTCTTACAAAGAAAATTGAGCAAGGTGCAGCTTAGTGGAAAGGCATGCCTACGAAAATGTAGCCACTTGAGGGGCATCAATTTTTACCGTTATAGGGCCGCTATAATATTATTTAATACCTATATGTTATACAGCAAGATTTATTTGATTTTTATTATATTTTTTCCTTTTCAATTAGCCAAACGAAAGTGATTAAACTAGGAAGTTATTTGAAACATGTCATAACGGCAGGTACCCTAAAATTTACCACGGTCTTTTGCTATCGACTAGATTGCAGTAGCTGGTTGCTGTTCGTTGTTCATTTGGTGAACTTCGAGAAGCCATGCATATTTCACCCAATGACCTGCACTTTGCGCCATTTTCTTTCTAAACAACGATTTCCACACACATAACTCGTTTTCTAAGAACATTTAACGTGATAGGTGTAGATCACATTTCCTGTATTATCGTTAGTTATAGCAGAACCTCCATATCTGCACTCGCTAAATGCTTGAACACCTTATAATTAAGACTCAACTTTACGAAACGTGATAAAATGTTTTGTGCACTTGTAACACATCACTGAATTGAAGAAAATTTTACGCTCTTTCCAAAAATCGAAAAATTCAATATGGCCATCACAAAAAAAAAGAAAGTAACGCCGGTTGCGAGATAACAACAGGCGGTGGAGATGTCATACACGCCATCTTAATCATCTTAAAAAAATGTCTTAATAATGTCACATTTTGACAGCTGTCCATTTAACCCTTTTGGATTTACTGACGAAAAACGCGATCCTCCATTTTCAGTTTTTCGCCGATATTTCCCAAACTAATTGACCGATCTTAAATCTAAAGCCGGTTATCAAATGCACTAAGTTTCCTCTAAAACTTTCCCCACCTATTCGTTGTTGTAGGTACAACAGGAGCGGAGATGTTCTTTTCGTCTTCCGATCAAGTCATAATAAATACTCGGACTTAGTTCATTCATTTTAATAAAAAATAATTATGAATTATCCATGCACAAAGGTGCAGTAAAAACTATGTATATAGTAAGTAAATAAAGTATATAGTTTAGTAAAGTATAGTAAACTATATAGTAAGACTATCCCAGAGAACTAGGATTAATATTTAAATATAAATATAAATGAAAAGCTATTTCACTGAAATTCCGTTTTATTTTATTCCAATCCAATGGTGGCGTAAGCTGCACTTCGCAAATGTTGCAAATTTTATTATGATTATATTTTGGTAGATGAGTATCTTATGACGTTAATTCGCTTGAATTGTTTAAGAATCTGCCTTTCTGGTAGAATTGCAGCTAAGTCACTCACTCAAAATTGTAACCAGTTTCTTCTAATTAAAAGAATATCTCAAACAATAAAAGGAATCAAATTTATACAAATTAAATTTACAAAATTTTTTATTTTTAAAATTTTTTGCCATAAGCACTTTAATTGGATCTTGAAAATCAGCTTGAAGCTTGATCTATTATATGTGGTGCTACCTAATTTTCTATGCGGAAGACGAAACTAACCTATAAATTAATCACCGAATGATCCTAGCAATCTTGGCTAATAGAGGTAAAAGAAGAAAAAGAAACTATAAATTGAATTGAAAATTTTGCGGTATGGATATTGACGAAGCAAGTAATTACTTTCATAGTTATGAAGATTTAGAGGTAAATGATTAAATGATGCATACAAATAGTAACATAAATTGAAGTGATTTTCTTTTCAACAGATTCACCAACTGATGCTTCGTGATCAGGCACGAAACCAATCCTATCAGAAGGCTATTTTCGATAATAAACAAACATTTTGTGGCAAAATTGTTATTGATGTTGGTGCAGGTACGGGCATATTATCAGTTTTCTGTGCACAAGCTGGAGCACAAAAGGTGTATGCTGTTGAAGCAAGTGATACTTACAAGATAGCACAAGTAGTGGTGCAGCAGAATAATGTTTCTAATATAGTAGAAGTGGGTAAAAAAAATATTTTTTGTAATAAAATTTGTTAATTGCCATTTCTCTGTGTATAATTATATCTGGCTTGTTGGTATTTCCGTATTCCGTAAGCGACATAGCTAAAAAATATTTCTGAGAACTATCTTTTCAATTTTAGGTTGTGCATAAGAAAATGGAAGATATAAATTTTTCCGATATTCCAGAAAACGTCGATATTATAGTGTCTGAGTGGATGGGTTTTTACTTATTACATGAAAGCATGTTAGATTCTGTAATTTTTGCAAGAGATCACTTTCTCAAACCTGGTGGGAAAATGTTTCCAGAGTCAGCTACATTATATGCAGCTCCTTGTAGGTAAGTGAAACAATACAATATTCGTTAGAAATATTTTATATTTGTTCAAAAAAAAACTTTCACATTGCTGTTACAATTATTTTCTTATTATACAGATTGTTGTTTTAGATTTTTCTTTTTTAAATAATATCTTAATTTACGCTAATATCTCCATTTAAGGGTAAACAATCCTCCATATAATAGATACTTGACAATTGTTTTAATTCATTATGAAACATATATGTATGTTGTTATTATTCTCATTTTAAAACACATTAGCATTTCAAGTTTATATGAGGACTGGAAAGATGTGTCGGGAGTGAATATGGAGTGCTTTGGACGTTTATTAAGACAACAAGTTTCTAGCAAACCTTTGACAGAAGAAATACCATTGGATTCCTTATTATCTGAACCTGAAGTAGGTACCTCTAAAAATTGTTCAAATAATCCCATTGACCATTGCAATTTTTGCAAGATATAAATTTTCCTCTTACTTGGTAGGTTACTATGTAATATGTAAAGCCTAATGTGATATGTATCATCATTTTTATTTTCAAAGAGTTTTGTTATTAAATTTGTATAATTAAATAGTTCATTTAATTCATTCTAAACTATCCTTAAATAATTTCAGATAGTTACTTGGATTGACCTTACTGAAGCTACAGTTGAGGAAATTTGCCAAATAACTTTTCGACATGTGGCAGCATCAACAAGAGTGGGAAGTTTTGAAGGAATCTGTCTATGGTTTACCTGCACTTTTCCCGTAGCAGATTATCCAAGTAATGCAGAACCAGTAACATTATCAACAGGACCTGGAGAACAACAGACCCATTGGAAGCAAACGGTCATTGTTCTACCTGAGTCGATTCAAGTTGAAACTGGAACACCCATTTGTTATGAATTGGCAATTAAAAGATCAACTGAAAGCAAGAGGAGATATATTTTGGAATTGACAATGCTTGATGCTAATGCAGTGGAACATCCTGAATTTTGTAGCTGTTATATGACTAAATGTATTCTAGTGAAAGCCATGTTAGAGAAATATGAAAAAGAAAACAGTGGTGATAATAAAACTGGTAACAATTAGTATTGTTTTTAATTTTGTACACCAAATGGGAGGCCCATGCTATAATTTTCTTTGTTTCTTAGCAAAGATGGGTAAAATTCGACCATAAAACCATATAGAGTTCTCCAAACGATATAGCGTTTTTACGACATGTATGGTATGTAACTTGGGTAATTTTTTATGAAAGTATAACCGCAGGCCTACTTTGCTTGAGTTTATCTTTGTAACCTCCAAATATATTCCATACTTAGTGCATATTTGTGCTGAACGCTGACTTCACCAACCCCCACAAATGCATAAGATTTTGTATTGCATTCCTAGAAAAACATTTTAGAGTCATCCTGTTAAATGCTTAAATTTGAAATCAGCTTTCTAATGTGTTTTTAATATAGGGGATTAACTAATTGGCAAATGACTCTTTTAGCATGGCACAGTTCTTGTCGGCTAACATGTTAAATATGGCTCTGTACACGTGCTGAAAAGAATTGTTCTTCCGCTTTACAACATTCGGGTCGTAAACTCATTGCAAAATCAAAAAATCATAAAGGTTGTAAAAATGGTATATTGTTTGGAGAATTCTGTTAATTAAATTGTGTCAAATTTATTTCGTTTTAAAAGTGTTCCACCTAAAATAACAATTACTATCAAATTTATGTGGTGTACTTTTATTCCTAAGAAGGCATGCAAGTACTGGTCTTGAAAGTTAACTAATATTTTTGGTTATCGATATAAAAAGTGGGAAAGGTATTTTAAACAAATGACTTTTTCTCCATTTTGTTTATGTTAAAACATTTTATTTAATTCTCTCTCGTGTGATATACGCTTGAATATTTCGCAAAAGATACCTTCAGACGCAGTAGTATTTCGCGTAAATATGTATAACGCAAGCAATTTCTAACCAACAAAATACGGCATGCTGATACGGTCACAAATTTGGAATCGGTTGTTTTAGAAGTTATCTGCTAACAAGTGGCGTGCGCGGCTCGCCAAAACTACGATTTATTAATATTTTTTATCGCTCAGCAATTTATGTGCGCGAGTTTGCAAATTTGGTACTCTTGTTAACCGTACGATAATATTCTAATAGTTAGTGTCCAAAAATTTGCACTTGTTTAATTATATAATTGCCCTGTCTATTACCCCATTACAAACATAATCTCACTCAAAGTAATCCTGTGCTGCTGTCTATTTACGGCCCCAATAAAAATGTGCTTTGCATGTGAGTACTGCAATTACTTCTTTAAAAATATATATATTTAAAATTTCTGTCAGGTATGTTTATAAAATTAAATTTCTTTTTTCCATCATCAGTTATTGCAATGCACTTTAACTTATATAAAAAGAAATATTATTGTAGAAATTTCTGAAGTTTTTTATTTTGCTGTAATGTCAATTATAAATATGTACTACAATATTTCACACAAGAAATGTACATTTCCACTGTTTCATTTAGAAAATGCACGATAATAATTACTTATTATGATATCGACATCCGTATTTATTATGAAAAATAGTTTGTAACTCCCAGAAATATTGTTCCAATACCTGAGTCGTTTCATATTTTCAAATTCCACTTATCATATTTCAAAAATAGAAACGATAAATTGTAATCTAGAAAATTATAAATTATGGACTAACTATGGATGTAATAAGTACTTTGTTAAAAATGATAACAATAGTGACATCATATTATCGAACAAACGTATTTCGTACTAAGTGATTTTACAAAAAAAAGAATGTTTATTTTAATTATGCAAAGTGTTTTCAGAACTGGAAATTGCGATAAATTAAGCGTTACGATACTTTAAAAAATATTTCTGTAGTAGATAACTGCATATCAAACGAGAAAGAGTTATATTAAAATGTCACCTGTGTATATTATTATTCGATTATGAATAATTTTGCGTAGTTTTCTGCGTTAATCTGAATAATTGTTCAGACGTTCAAAAACAGGCAATTGTTTTGATACCAAATTTGTAAGGAAAACAAGACCCATTTTACATTTTGAAGAACGTTTGAATAATTATTTTTACGTTAACGTTAATGTCACTACTATATCAATATTTATTTTTATTGGTAGGGAAAAAACCGAAGTTGATAAGTAATTCTGGCAGACATGACATATACCTTCGTTATTTTTATAAATGTTTCTCCAAAATCAACCTAGAAGTGGAAACAATTGTGAAGTAAAGATGGCCAAGAAGATCCCTACTGCAATAAGAACGCAGGTAAAACAACTTTTTTTGTGTCATCATATCATCTTTATATTACATTTAGGTTTATTATTTTATAACTACAGAAAGCTTATACAGACTGTCTTATTTATAATATTAACTTTGCTTTACTCCTGAAATTTAATATTTGTAATTTAGTAAATTCACAAAAATAAACAATGTCCCCTTTTTTGATATGTTAACTTATGGAAGAAACAGGGTGACAGTAAATGCAGATTTTTTAAAATTCCCTGGTTTATGTATAAAACATACAGAATGGTCGGTTATTATTATTATTATGCACCAAATGTGGTAAACGGCATTTAAGTCACGAGTTTATTTGGCACGAGCGGAGCGAATGTTTAATAAAGAAAAGACGAATCCAAAGATGGCTAACGGATAAATATCCGAAATCGTCATCTATCATATTAGGAAGGTATTTACATATTAACTTTTTAAACATTTTTTTGCGTAACATATTAAATAAATTAGAACATTTATATCAAATATGCGGTGTTGCAACGTTTTGCAAAATGTTCCGTATATTTTTGCATAGCAATATTAATAATTTTTGATAGCATATCGTTCATATTTCCATTTTTAAGTTTTTCTTTACAAACATTTTTTTCTCAGTTGAAAATATATAGAAATGAAGAAAAAGTTTATACTGCAAATAATAAAAGTCCGGCTCTTGCTCTACGAAAGTATAGAGCCAAGTTTCCTGAGAGGCCTCGGAATTGATAAAACTCGTCAATGAATTCAAAACAGTGTATCGCAGACCAATGTTCATATATATCGTTGGATTCGTCTTTTAAAATGCAAAATATACAGGGTATTTGATTTTTAAAAAATCAGAGAAGTAATATTGTGCGAAACAAGGTAAGACTTCGTTTTGGATAAAAATTTGGGATATTGTCTGAGAAAAAATATTATTTTTTAAAATATGTTTCGCGTTACAAAAACCTTTCCAAAAATATTCGCTAATAACGGTGCATTACATAGGTAGGTTATAACAAAGTTATAATATATATAACTTTTTGAAGGGGCCGGTATGATTAACTCATGTGCCGAGTTTGAATAAGTTTTAATAAACCAATTTTGAATATTTTCCGTGACGCTATTTCCCAAACTTGACTACGTCAAAGTGGACAATGTCAAATAAAGGTTTAAAGACGATTTAAGTAACAAGAAAGTTTCAAGGAACGGCTATACATTTGACCCTCAAGAATTTTGTTAAAAATAATTAATGATTATAATACAAATACGGCTACGAAACATAAAAAGAATCATTATTTAAAATAAACATTATTTTTTAAGTAAATGTCAAAGCAACCATCCGCTAACAGTTAAACAAGCGATCATAAAATTCATTTCTCACATTGCTTAGTTAAGATTGTGAAATCCTGTCACAATCTAAAATGCGTTTTGTAACTGGTTAAGATTTTCAACTTTAACACTTTTCACGTGGCCCACAGAAGTATGGGCGGCACAACCATCCATCTGGTACCAGATCTCCTGATCTTCACGAACAACTTCTTCTAGTGCGGGTACAATTTAATTTTGTAATAAGTCCAAATAGATTATAGTGCATAAAAAATAGCCCAACAATAGCCCACAAAATTCCCACCATGTCATTTTTTTTTGGAGGATATTGGCTTTGAGTATGAACAAAACGATATTCATTGTCGTGGCTGGACTGACAGTATTGAACATTTGGTTCGTTGTTGAGTCTCAGTCATCAGTAAAACTAATATTTTTAAAAATGTGCACAAACCGTGGTTTGATGTTTATTTACAGCTTGTCCAAGAATTCTCATACTAATTATTTGGTTTTCCTCCACATGCAGTAAAATGTTCAAATCTCTATTGTCGCTTTCTTTTTCTCTATTATCGACATTTTCAGCTGAACATTTGCAGTTATTTATTACGGTGCCTTTAGACTCGAATTAGGCAATAATACGTTTAGGGTCGAAGGTATAGTTTTAGCAGGAAAATAAACAAAAAACATTTCACACACTACTCCAAGACTGTTTCCTGCACAATTCCACTTAATTAGGGTTATTTTTTCTTCAATTAAATAACGCATATTTAGTTTTAATTAAAGCGCATTTGATCAATCACAAATAAAAACATTGTTACAGTCACGAATTTTCATGTTGTCATTGTCAAAATGTATTTTACTGGTGTTTGATTTATTATCTAAAAACTATAACATATTCAAATTTTGCCAACATATTGAATTCAATAACTAAATTTTGGCTTATTAAAATTTATCATACCCGCCCCTTCAAAAAGTAATATTACAACTTTGCTATAAAATGTATGAGGGAGGTGGACAATATTTGACCACCTAATAATTTACAAGGGATTTCCTATGCTCCGTTCGGCCCCCAGTATAGATATTTATTTATATTTTATTATATATATATATATATATATATATATATATATATATATATATATATATATATATATATATATATATCCTCACGTATTGATTCACGGATGGAAAAATGTGATGACACTATACTCCGGGATATCATCCGTTCGCTCGTTGAACTCCGACTGGAATCCTGCATCCGACTGGAATCCTGCAAATCCTGCATCCGACTGGAATCCTGCAGACGTTTCGCCAAAATCTCACTTGGCATCTTCAATGCTCGCGCTCCGAAAACACTTCGAACACCGAAGCTTCCGAAGCGAAACTTCGGAGCGCGAGCATTGAAGATGCCAAGTGAGATTTTGGCGAAACGTCTGCAGGATTCCAGTCGGATGCAGGATTTGCAGGATTCCAGTCGGAGTTCAACGAGCGAACGGATGATATCCCGGAGTATAGTGTCATCATATATATATATATATATATATATATATATATATATATATATATATATATATATATATATATATATATATATATATATATATATATATATATATATATCCTTGGATTGGTCTTTTAAAGGGATATTTAAAAATGTAATAAAATATAGGGTGTTCCGTTTTAAAATATGTAATGTAATATATTTAAAAAAAATTAAGATTACTTTACTGGAAATAAGTTTTTATTCAAACCTTTTTTTATAATACTCTTAGGTTTAGAGATGCAAACTGACCACCCGGTATACTAATACAACATTGACAAATTTTTGCATCAAAATCTTTCATTTTTTCGTGGAATTTGTGAAGGGATGAAAGAGCAGGTTCTCATATTAGTTTAATTTTTAAGTAATGAAAGATGACACTGGCACTCCCTTTTGGTCATCTTGGAAAAACCCCATATTCTTTTTGCCTCAAAAAAAAAACGTAAACTAGACACTAAGACTGAAGATTAATTTGAGTAGGGTCCGCAATTTTTGGAATCAATATTTTGCTTGTTTATATTAAAAATGGGTCTTAATTCTTACTGAATTCAAACGATTGAAATAAACAGATTTGTCATAAAATGGTCTAACTCCTATAAGAATACGCAATTCTCTATCGAATTTGCACCACCCTGTACAAAAGTCCTTAAAAGAGACCGTGAAATACAATAAGGAAGCCATTCTATACTGTCGTAACTCGATATCTGCTATTCAATTAGCTCAAGTTCGTTCGTCACGCCAATTCAAAGGTAGTCGGAATATATGGCCAGGGAAATAATATGCCGAATGCATTAGGAGAACCAGAATTAGTAAAACAAAAGTTCCCCAATTCGCCAATAGACGAACCAAAGGAGAGAATAATCGACTTGAGCGAAGTATCCAGGCACGATGGAAGATTTGATTGCTGGATTGTTTTGTACGACAGAGTATACGACATTACCAATTTCATTGACGAGGTAAGAGTAACGTTTGTGTCGCTAGATTATTAGTACATCTCTCAAGTCGGAGAACATTTAGAAATGCGAAAATTTTTATCATTTACCACTTTTCCCTATAACTTCTAAAAAATATTTTTTTTCAATAGGCTAATCAAAAATATATTCATTTAGCCAATACTGGTTCTTAATTAAAAGCACTTTAACGAAGTTAAGAATTTGTTTTGACATTATAGTGCGAATGTAAATTGTTTTCTTCGTAATGACTGATCACATTTAATTTACTACTCAAAAATGTATAAATTCAATATTTTATACTGGCGAAAATACATTTTTCAAGAAGTCCATTTTTATAATCTTATCTTAATTATGCACTTAGGGATTACTTCGTATAAAATTGTCCATTCTGAATAATTTTAATTTAGAAGGCACGAATCCAATTTTCTGGTATCCCTATTCTTATTCCCTTTTTTAAATATGAACACGAATCAACTGCTATGACGATTTCATTCTAGCATCCTGGCGGGGAAGATGTACTTTTGGAATATGCCGGAAAAGATAGTACAATTGCATTCAGAGGAACAGGCCATAGTTCTTACGCTATACGATCCTTAAAACAATTTTTAATTGGAGAATTGCCGCTGCAGGAACGAATTTATAGAAGACCTAATGGATTTAAAATTAGTGATCTTCCTGACTAAACAATCTTTTTCAGGTGTAATTATAATAAAATCTATTCTGAAGAGCACGTTTATTTATTTCCCGATATTGAAATTCGATAACATATTGCTCTCAGACAGTTACGTAAAAAAGGGAATGACCTGCCGCGCATATCCCTAAAATTTACACATGAATCAGCACATTGTGTAATTTACTTTCTAAACAGCAATCTCCACACACTTAACTCTTTCACAAATAATAAATTTCATAGGATAGCTATGTCGGTTTCGTTCGTTGATAACGAAATTTGAAATGACAAGGCTTGTGCATAAGGAACACGAAAATCCTATTTTTGGCAGAATCTATAATATACGTTCTTTCCTACGTGTGCCAAATGTTAATATTGTGTGTGAAAGTGATGTTCGACGTAACAACGTTATGAAAAACAGGCGGCCTCGTAAACTAAGTTTATTTACTTAAGTTCGTACATAATGTACATAATAATACACAAATAAAAAATATAACAAGACAAAATTATATAACAATACAAACCACAAGAAATACTTGACAGAACAGGCTATTCAACCTTGTACTTTAAAGTACTTTAAAGTTCACAGTCTCGCGTAATTAGTTGTCTTCAAGTCTGCTTTGAAACATGTTGGTTACCGGTATCTACACTTGAAATCGCATACCCCATTAAAGTTTTTTCTATAATAGACCCAATTACTGTCAATTACGTTTTAGGTCATGTCAAGATAAATATTTGGAGCAATAAACATGTGGCAAAGTATTAAAGCTCAACACTTTTTCCAATGGACCATAAAAAATTAACTAATACCCAATATTTACCTCGAACAACTTTACCACGCATTACATTTTTCAAACTCTAAATGACTGATACAATAAATAAGTAAACCAAATCAACAAGAGTGTTCCTCCTAAAATATACAGATTTATAACACTATCTTCACGTGGCATATCACATTTGAGAAATGCATAATTGTCTGCAGCAAAAACTCCCTAAAATTAGAAAATATGTTTTGTATGGTATATCAGAAAATGTTTCTGTGTATCCACGTTCTTTTTTTTTGCCAAGATGGTCATAATATGTATAAGGCGGAGTGGCAATACTCACAGGTTTCTTAAGGAGTTACTAACTAAAAAAGATCACTATTATTTTAAGAATATTGGATACCTATTGTTATTTATTATTGTTCGTTAAAAAAAAGATAAACCATATACAAATGACTGACACGGTTGACGTATTTAAATTCGCTTTCTGGAGTGCATAATCCAAATTATCATTAACATTACACCTATACTATAAAGAATTATAACAGTAGTTTCCCGTGGAATTTCGCATTTTACAAATGCACGGTTACTTGGCGTAAAAACCGCCTAAAATTACAAAAAAACTCAAATCAAAAAGAGTACAGCATAATAAATGTATATAAGTGATATGTCAAAAAAATGTCAGTGGTGTGCTTCAATTTTTAGTTCTTGAAAAACGTCAAATTTCTTTTGTTTTACTGACAGACCATAATTGTTTCTAATTCTAATAAATTTTTGATTTTCACTGCAGGTATCCCAGTGCATACCTAAGTTCGAGAATCCAAACCAACTGAATAATTTAGGATAAATTTTCGAAACAAAACCTTAATCCTGTTTACACACCAACCATTGCTACACTAACGGTTATACATCTGAAACCGTAGATATATCTGAAATTTTTGGAGAAACATCTGTAGATTTGGATAGAGCAAGTTATTATGAGTACAAAAGGCGCCAACCAAAGAAAAGCGTCAATGTAAAAGCTAATAAGATTCAAATACTCCATAAAACAATATCAGTAATAGCATCCTGATTGGAGCTTGGGACAAAACAATTTTCTGCTAAAATTTCGAAACACGAGGTTAGCAAATCTCGCCTGGTTGAAATTTATACTGTTTTTTTTTTTAAACAAATACCCTAATTTTTATACTAATTAATGAATTTCTATCTTACCTAAAATAATATACTGGTTCTCTGATTTACAAAAAATTGAAATTGGTACTTCTTTAAGTAAAGTTGAAGCACAAAGTTGCTAACAAATAATCGAAAATTCGAAATTTTCTTTAATACCCAAAACTTTTATAAAAATTCCAGATATATTTAGATTGCTCATTATTGTAGAAGTAGGAGAAGTAGGTTGCAGATGTAAAATTAAGTTACTGAGTATCGAGAAGTTAAATTAAACATACCAAGCCATAATTCGGATTATTCTTGTTCCTCCAACTGAAACTGGGCATTGTTATTTCTACTCCCTTCCCAACTGATAAATTTCTAGTGCACCCATGATGTGTGTGGCCCGATAACACCAGTCGCGGCTTAATTTGAGTTAACAGCTCATATGTAGCGTCCCGACTTAAACACTCCCATCTTTCTCTAAACCGTTCCTGTTTTATGGACCAAGGGGCTGCGTCAAAATCGTCACATTCGATGTCTGATTCCCGATACAATGGATAATGCTAGAAAACATAATGACAAATCGTACAAAAAAAATCAGGTAGCACTTACCCGCTTTCTACCTTAGTTTTTTTTTATTTATATACGAAAAAATGAAAGCACAATTTATTCCATTGAAATAAATACTAGTACAAGTTACAAGTTGGTATTTAAAAGAAACATTATTTTTCTCGAACAAGTCACGCAGTACTGTCGTCAAAAGTTCCACTGGAACTAACCAAAACATTTTTTTAATTGCTACATACTGGGTGCAAATTATGTACTGAAACCAAGAACCAATTCGAGTTGTACCAGTTTTTAAGACGTTTTTTTTTTTTGAAAAATTAACATGGTGTTAAGTTGATATATTTATTACGAAAATTATATACAGGGTGGGTCAAAATACAGTCATTTGTGAAAAATAGATTTTAACCTGGTTTTTGATGATTAAAATGGATATGAATAATTCCAAAAATAAATTTCCTGAAACCAACGCGAAATAGATGTTCATAAATAGCGAGGAAAATTTTGTAAAATCGTAATTCTTTTGATTTGCATAATTAAGCTTACTACAATTACCACTAGAGGCTACAGTGTTCTAAGTTAACTCTTAATTTAAATCTAAAGATCCGGACGTGATTTCCATGACCCATTAATTGTGGGTTCTATATAGACTGCACCAATATATGTTTTTAAAAATGACTTTTGATTTTTTCCAGTGGTGCTTTGAAGAGACTGGAATACATTTCACCCACCTTTTATAGTTGAAATAACCGGTTTTACTCTCCCCAATAAAGGAAGTTCCACCTAAATACACTTGTTAGGATTCATTTTTAAATATAAAATTCCACTAAATAAATTCCCTTGTAAATATTTTGTCAAATTATTGCGGCAATCGACGCGCTCTACCTAGATCGATAAATTGACCTACTATGAAGTAGTAACAGTCAGTAATTTTTTAGTTTTGGGAGCTTTTTATGCAAAATAAAATAGTCATAAATATTCTCAGTTTAATTTTATGAGCTAAAGTGACATACTTATTATATGCATACTTTATAAATATATACTCGTTTAAGAATGATCAAAAAAATTCTTTGTATGATAAGATTTATTTAGTTTCCCCATAGTGTGGCATAAATAAGTGGTTTTTCAGTTTTATGTTTATGTTGTATGTTTGTGAAAAATACTATCACTCCATTAAACTTTCACAATGGAAAATAAAAGTAACATTAGAAATATATATACTTCTCACCACAGGACTTTAACATTTCAACAAACCTGCATTAAAATTGGTCGGCTGTATGTTGCTAATTTCATTTTTTGATCACAATTCGACAGTGAACTGTTCCTAGTACAGCGAAGTAACTCTAAAAAGGTACAACCATAAAACAAATAATATATATTTTAAATAAAATAACATTACGTGATATTTCAGCAATTTGCCTCTCTGCTGATTTACACAAAGAACATCCGTCACCTTCAAGTGCAATGCTGTTTATGAGTACAAAATGGTTCCCACGTACTGTTAAAAGCTGAACTGATGGAGAATTGAATCCATCAACAAATCGTTGAGTTAAATGAGGATTAACTCTAAAATCAATGCAGGTAATATCTTTCAGCAGTTCTTGATTTTCAATAATTTTCCTTTTATATATTTTTCTACTAAACACCAGTTTAAAGTTCATTCTTTTTACTTGGAATATAACTAGAAACATACGCATAATGAAATCCTATATCATGATTGCCAACTAGAACATAAATCCGTATAGTTTCTGGTACTCTGGTACTCTGAACAGAGAATAAAACCTATTAACGTAATAATTAAATTCCTCATCACTACAAAAGGAGCCCTCATCTGTCAAATCTCCCAGAAAAAAAACTATTTCTGGTGCATGCAATGTGATGGCCGTTTGAAAAGCCCTGTGCATTTGCCATTCTCGCCTTAATTTGTCGAACCAATGACCATTTTTACTTCCAAGTAAATGTGTATCAGCAAGGACCATAATTTTAACAGGATCTTCGGTATTGTCTATAAATGGTTCTTTTTTAATAGGGTCAAGTTTTGGCCAACTACACTAAAAATCATTTTACATTATGTACATACATATACTTCAATACATTTGAAAATAACTTACATGCATCTGGACAACATAAAAAACTAAATATTCGCAATAAAACAAAAAAATAAACACTCCCAAAAGAGTCTGACTAATAATTTTAAACCTCAACTTATTCCTTAGACAAACCATTATAATGCTGAGCAGGATGCTATTGTTAAAGTGAGTCTATAGTGGTCTAAACTTAGAGCACCAAAATTTCAACTACACACAAGAGCAATATTCAAACAGAATATAAATAATGGTGAAACAATTAAAAACAAAGACACCCATTATTTTCCTTTTTAAAAATCAGAAATTGGTTCAAAATTTTTGCAGTGCTAAAACATGAATTAAAAAAAAATTATGCCTTGCTTCATTAAATTTTGAATTTGCATTAATTAAATAGAAGAATAAAATTGTATTTTTGTTTCCTTTTGGCCATAGTCACGAAGACGTTCGCCCATTACCAGAACTGCATACGATATAGTCACATACTACCAACATAGGTTAAATTTTTAAGTAAAAAAAGAAACAAAAACAGCTACAATAATATAACGAATTCTCCGTCTGAAAAATATATTCACGTTAATTTTACGAATGTTTAACGAAAATTAGTTCTGCCAATAATTGAGTTGAAGTACATTCACATCACAGCCATGAATGGGAAAATCACACACTCAACATTATCACTTCTTTAAATCTCCCAATGGATAATACATCAAGGAGATTGTAAGCCAAATACAAGACATGAAACTGATATCATTAGCTATGGTCCACTAAATTTGTCTTTGTGTGATTATTATGTAATTCAGATTGTTTTGCCACATAAAATACATAGAAAGGTATTGCCAATAGAAGTATACAAAACAATATAATTAAAATAGGCCAAGAAATATCCCAATCTGATCCACTACATTTCATACTTTTTATTACTGGTTCCTCTGACACGTTGGTTTCATGTGATAATAGGGTTTCCTCTTCATTTGCCTCTTGGTCCAGATCATCACTTGAATCATAATGCGCACATGAAGTGATGTTGGTGTTAAAAATTATATTATTTACTTCAAGTGAATTATTTACTAAAGATACCCCAGTTTTAATGAGTTCACTTGTCTGCAAAGGGGTAGAGGATCTACTTGAGTCAGTTGATGAATTATAAGCATTACTATGTACTGTGGCCAATGCTTCTGTAAATGACCTGTATGGCACTTTGATAATTTTTCTTGCATATATTTCATTTTCTTTATGGATACTGTTTATTCTTTTCAATTCTTCTATCTAAAAGGAAATTAACTTTGCAATTAAATGAAAAGGGAGACAATTTTGCCTTCATCTATATCTCAAAACTATTTGAAACATTTTAAAGCTATGATTCTTTCTATTTTAGTCAAGTGACAAGTTGGAAACTGCAACATTAATATTTACTTACCGTACATTGATATCTTATAGCCAAAGACTGCAAAGAATCTCCATCCTCTACATGTTTTTCCACTGTGATTACTTCTGGCTTTTTAGGTGTCTTCCTAGTAGTAAGTTCTGTATTTTCGGTTGTGTTATCATTTGGTTTACTTAGTCCCCTATAAAACTTTTCTCTAAAAAATGTTTATTTTGGGGCGCAATAAACATAAAACATCAATCAATGAATACAAACCTCTGACGTTTCATAGCAATACATGCTTATCAGATAGATCAAGTCTATTCTTATCTCGTCCTCTTTCGCGAAGGTTAATCGGAACATAACCTAAACACAGAATCCATGTTGCTCTCTTTTGTTACTTGTTTTTTTTGGCCATGCAGCACAGGCAATTTGGCCAATACAAGCAACATGCTCAAATTGATAAATGTTACATTTTGTTAAAAAACATCACCACGTATACTAGGTAAAAAGTAAGAGATTGTAAAAGTCAGTAATAGGGAACCAACAATGTGCGCATTGCTTACATAGATACCTAGAGTACGTTCTATGTGTGGTCGAATAATTGGCCCAGGATTTTATGACTTTGTTCTGAATGGTGAGAGATATTTAAATTTGTTGGAGAACTATATATTTCCATTAATTGATAATCTGCAGGACGATATGAAAGGGACGGATCAGCGAGGAGTCCTGGCTTGACACCTCTGGACTTTTTTTATGGGGCTGTATAAACTTAAGAATTCTGCTGCACTCGGCAATTATAAACTTGGAATAGGATACAATATAGATAGATAGAGAGATATAGATATTATATAGATAGTTAGGTTTAAAATAAAATACACGAGTTGTTCCAGAAAATTGGCCATAACTTCCAAACTACCAAATGATACAGAATTAAATCTGAGACCCAATAAAAGTGAAAAATACAGTATGACAAAGACTTGTGAGGTTATGTTATTTTTCGGTTAGTTGCATTTAGTAACTTGCGAAATTATGGTTTTAGAGGTTGGACCATACAAACTTGTTTTCATTTGGAAAGAATCTCATCATTTAAATATTCATGCAAAAAAAAATGAAGCAACTAGCAAAGGCAGCAACTTTTCGCAATGTGAAGCAAGAAACTTAATTGTTGGAATTTGTTCCATGAAATTATCCATAAATAACATGAATTGTATGTTTGCAACCAAAAAAATCCACATTCAAGCAACTTCCATAATATAAAATAGACAAATTCCATAAAAGGTCTAATTATTTGCTCTGTTGTTACAGCGACAAACTACGTTGTGAAAATCGGGCATCATGCTGCCCTCCTTTGTTGCCAAACTTTTGTAGAGGACACACAGGTGAATATTATAGAATTAGATTTTTGTCATTCTCACTGTAAAACACAACACTAAAATTTTAAAATATTTACCAGGAAAAATGTTTGAAGTCCTGAATTTGTCATTTCAGTGACTACTGCTGTCTTCTAATAAAAAAAAATTGGGTTAGCAGGATGTTATGCTTACTTATTCAAAGGGATGATGTTGCATAGAAATATTTAATATGCGACTGCTCCGGTTATATAGAGCTAAATAATAGAATTTGCTTTTTTCTTTTAGATAATTTTTACTCACACTTCAAATTTTACTTATTTATTCTATTAATAAAACAGTAGTATATGAAGGTGTTAGAAAACCACTATCTATTGGATACATATACGAGCTTTTGCTCTAACAGCTCCCCCTCGTGTGACTTACCTGTAATGTAATAAAATAAACTTAACGTTGCACTATTACACTAACCCTTAGCCATGAGTCCTGCAATGAACTTACAGGCTATATATAACTTGTGATCTATAGGGATGGTTTAATTTCCATGCTTTTCTCACGAAATAAGGGAAAACTTATATTGCTTTACGCCAACTAAGAGGCGATGCACAATTATTAGGCTCAAAGCACTTGAGATAATTTGCCATTTACTATATTCTCAAGTATCCCCACCTATCCTTGTCATAGTTATTGTGTAAATAAGACTACAAATATTACAAAGTAAAACTTTACAGAATTCTTACGAAAAAAAAACGGATCACAAGAAATTTATCAACTTTTTGCATCTATACTTTTTCTACGACCATGTTTGTTGGCATATAGCTATTAGATATACAGGATGTCACAAACTATAACTGCATATTTTACGTCCAAAATAGGCCCTAGTCGTCTATATAAACATAGGTCGTGAAAATCGCTTTTTTGGTTAGTTTTTGTTTTGGTTTTGGTTTGGTTTGTTTCTCCTATGGAAGGATATTTTTCGTAATCGGTAAAAACGCGAATGATTGAAGATTACGGCCGACAGCCAATCAATATCAAAACGATACTAAGTAACAGTTCAATGTCTTTGACTCACACAAATCAGTGTATTATATTTTGGCCCCATTAATGTGCACTCTATCGCAAAATTGAAAAAGGTTGCACGAGATCAAAACATAATTTTAATGGTGCAGGGTGGTTCATGTAGGTCATATAACTGTAGGCGTAAAGAGTGGGTGTGCACCTCCTTTATAAATAAATATGTGAAAGCCGAGTTTCAATGCGTCAGAAGAATCCAGAATGACCAAGGAACCGCAACTTTTCATTTTCAAACAGCCAAGCCCAGCCGAAGGAAGAAGTTATAATAGCTCAATCCGGAAACAGTGGTGTATCGGCTGAAGGCAAAACAGGAATAATCAGTGGACTTTCCATATCGGAAGTTCTTGTTATCGGAAAACGATAAGAAAAATTAGGAGTAAAGATCTGGTATAAGAAAAAATAGCTAATAACTCTTGACAATTTCGGATCGATAATCGGGACCGACAACTTTTTTTAACCCATATATTTTTGCATGATTCTGATTCCTCCGAAAGATGAAAAATTATTGGGTATCACTCAATTTTGTTTAACTTCACCAACAGTTTAGGCAAAATATTTAATTTAGCCTAAAATGGTGCAATTTTATATGAGAATGCCAATATCCAACAAAATACGAGCTTTGATGACACAAAAACTGTTCCGACATATCTATTTCTTTTTTTTTAAAGAGGTTTGTAAATAAAAATAAAACACTTGAATATTTCATTCCTTTATCATTCCAATCAAGTGGAAAACACCAAAGATAACAGGGAATTTTTAATTTAGTCAGGGGGTTTTATACATCATTATATAAAATAATTTTGTACTTGTTTGTTCCCTTTATTTAAGAAATAACCTTAAATAACCTAAAAGTTTTAAAAGACCCTACTACTTAAGCTTTGGTACACAACTTTTTAGATTTTTTCTTAACAGGTATGTACTTAACAGACACCGAACATCCAAATGATCAGGAAACACTGATATCTAACTATTAAATTTAAATATACGAATGAACAATGTAATCTGTATCTGCAAAAGTTTGAAATGTAGAATAACCACTTAAGCGAAACAAAATATGCATTTTGTATTTGAACCTGTCCATATCTTAATACATAAAATTCCCTTGGATTTCTCCTATGTTAATGGTCGAATGGTTATAGGTGCCGATAAAGCGCAAATTCAAGGATAATTGCTGGAAATTATTTTTAAGTTTGAATTTTTATCTTTACAATTGTTAGTTGCTGAAATTTGGTATATTCTAATTTGGAGAAATCCAAAAAGAACACGTATCTGTAGGAACTAGGGCTTGTACTTAAAAAAATCTTTATTATATAACATATTTGAATGCACAGAATACTGATTATATATAAATCAAAAATAACACCCATACAATAGTAAAAATAAAAAATGTTGGAATGTTTTATATTTTTATAAACCAAAAATATATAGACAAATACATATATTAGAGCAAGCATGAATCACATGCAAATATACGGACTATGTACATCCTGACAATTATCCAATCACTAACTTGAAAATGGTGAAAAAATAACCAAACAACAAATTTTAGTTTGGTTGGAGAGTCAGAATAAAAGCATGATGAAAGATGAATGGAAACTTTACATCTTCTAATATAAATATAAACTAAAAGACAACAACAAAAATGATCTGAAATACCCCATCCACTTATAATAAATTTCTTGATAGGCAAGTAACATTTGTCTATATAATTTTGTCACTGAATTTACATTTATAACATTTATTATGGGCATGAGATTTCCAATTCTGGGGCGTTGTCTAGAAGTTGTTTCTCTCTGAGTTGTTATGGACACTGAAATTAGACAATTTTTTTAAAAAATATATTTTAACCTGAACCTAATATACATTTTTTGAAATCATTCGCATATTTGCATATATTTGCAAATATTCTAACAATGCTTTAATATTTTCAGAAAACACTACAATTGACGCATTTTACATACATACAAATTTGCACCTTTTTTTTAGTGCGCGAACCGCAAGTGCTTATTTTTGCATGTTGTTTCCGCGATTGTTAAGTAATTAGTTCTCCAAATTCCTAAATACAGCTACCAAAAAGCGACGATAGTTTTTTAGGCTGTTTAGTATATACAACAAACTGCTACAACCTGCCTTACCATAGATATCAAAGAAGATATTCGAGCATAACCTGGAAGCACTTTTTTTTTTTTCGGTCAACCAGGTGAAGTGGTGTGCACAATTTTACCTCGGTCCGAGAAAATTTTCATTTTTTTGACGTAATTCTAGTCTTCAACTGAATTTTTCGGTCTGGGTGAGTTTTATATTTAGTCAGCCGTTAATATTTGCTTTGGTTTGGTGTCGCAGTTCGCAATAATTTAGCGCTTTTCATATCATGGCATGTGCTTCGGGGGGTAAAGACCCCCCTGATAGAAACGATCGTATCGTAGTTAATAATCCGATAGTGTTTGCAAATGATTTTGATTCCTTTCAAGCTCAACTAAACTTGTCCCAAGCTTCTACCTCCTCTAGCAGTGGTTATTCATCAGCCTTGACGCTTTCGCCTTTAGCTAAGAAAACAGCACATGCTATCGCTCAGCATCAATACTTCTTAGTACCCACTAAGGAGGAAATAGATTTATTGGAGACAGAGTTACAAAAGCTTAAATCTGTCTTCGTGGAAGATCAGGATGCCCTAAACGAAATTGCAAGAATTTCAGTCAACATAAGGAGAACACTTAACCGAAAGTATAAGTATGAACTTACAGACCAGGGACCATTTCTTATCATAATGGAGGGAATAACTTCTCAAGTTGGAAACATTCACCCGATGAATATTGGAAAAATTTTGCACAGAGCTGGAGTACAAGGTATAACAAAAATCAATAGAAAAGGGGCTAATAAAATTGGAATTGAATTCAGAACATCAGAGTATGCTAATCAGTTTTTGTCAAATGAAAGTTTCAGTTCTGCTAGAGGCTATAATAGGTACATTCCACAACGTCTTGTCACTTGTAGAGGACTAATCAAGGATGTAGGGGACCAAATTACGGAAGAGGATTTTTACTCAGAAGCGGTAGCTTATACAGGAGAAGGATCCCGGGCCAGGTTGATTAAGATATTAAATGTAAAAAGAGTCTTAAGAAGGAAGAAAATACTTGCTATTTCTGGTGAAACAGTAATGAAAACCATCCCCACAAACGATTATATTGTAACATTTGAAGGCAAATCATTACCCCAAACTGTAAATATTTTTAATAATGAAAGAGAAGTGGAAAAATATGTTAACCCGGTTATAATGTGCGTCAATTGTTGCAGATTTGGACATGTCAAAAATAATTGTAGAGGCAAGCCTCGTTGCGGTTTTTGTACAGAAGATCATCTTATGTTTGTTTGTCAAAAAAGAGAGCAAGCAATGAAAAAAATGAAATGCCCTGCAGATCATCTTAACAATCTGACTAAAACGTGTAAAATTCCAAATTGTGAAGTAAATCCAAAACCAAGCTGCGTAAATTGCAAGGGACACCACACTGCTACTGACTGGGGATGTCCCGAATACAAACGGCAAAAACAAATTAACGAAACCATGAGCTTCTACAACCTTTCTTTTTATGAAGCAGCTAAACTGCATCCACGGCTAATTAATGCAAACCAAGGCTTTACCCGAAAACCAGAAGATTTTCCTAGTTTAAATAAAAAAACTCAGAATAAACCTCCTCATCCAACAAGTCCTCAGGGCTGTTCCTCATATACATCAGTACTTAAAAGAAAACGGCCTGACACCCAATTTACCAAAGGGTATGATAAAGTAGCCCATGAACTAACTTTGTTACCCTCAAGTGCAAGAAGAAAAGTCTCATCTATACAAGTAGTTGAAAACTCGACATCAGAGTCGGAAATGGAAGTAACTCCTGTAGGAAATGGCTGGGAAGAAGTATGCAACAAGTTTGAAGCTTTCAAAAAAGACGTTATGTCAATAAAGGGTATGGATGAAAATTGTGTCAACAATATCAAACAATATTTTGGTTCATTTGACCTACGGAGGGGGGGCGGCTGCGATGGCAGCGGTTGACCTACAGGGGTTAGAAAAAGCAAAGGTAATCTTATCACTAGTTTTAATCTAACAGTAGTTTTTACGTAACAAAACTAAGTTTAAGTTTTAGTCACAAGCGTTTTATAGTTGAGCTATAATGAATATCGTTCACTGGAACATTTGCGGGGCTGAAAAAAATAAAGATGCTATCATTAGAGTTATAAGGGATTTTAAGCTACAGATCTTATTGCTCAATGAAACCTTGCTCAAACCCAACACTAACTTTAAAATATCAGGGTTCTCTTCTGTAAGAGCAGATAAACCTAATGGTGCAGATGGTATAGCAATTTTCTTGAAAAACAAAATAAAATATAATATCATCGACTTAAGCAGAATTAATATACCAGAGAGGTGTCAGGTTATTCTTGTAGAGCTTGTCGATTTTTTTATTTGTTGTGTTTACAACCCTCCAGATATTTGTTTGGTCAGGGCAAGCCTCGATTCAATTTTCGATCTAACCCGTAATAAACCCGTCCTCGTTATGGGAGACTTTAATGCCCATAATCCAATATGGGGTTCCCAGGTCAGTTACTCACGGGGAATTAGAAGTGGGAACATTCTTTATGATTTCATTAAGGATCACGATTTGTGGGTACTAAACGATGGATCAGCTACTCGGCTCACACGCCCAGGCGTACACAGCGCTCCAGATGTAGCTTTTTGCTCCCAGAGACTGTCTGGACTTACTGACTGCAGGGTTCTCCAGGATAGAGTGAATAGCGATCATTTTCCTATTTTGTGTATCATCGGAAATAACCGTTGCAACTCAGGTTCGACAAGAAACTACACTAGCAAATATAATTTCAACAAGGCAGACTGGGAGAAATTTTCTGATTTAATCTCCACGAAATTTAGAACTTCACCTCCTATAAATTATGAGGATTTTATGAATATAATTTTCCTATCTATTGCAGAATCTGTTCCAATGCATAAACACTCATTAAACTACGGGTTACCTTGGTGGGATAATGAGTGCACCAACGCTATTAAAAGGAAAAGACAAGCATTCAGAGACTATAAAAACAACCCCTCTGAGACCAACTTCCTGGAATCATTAAGAACCCGGGCACAAACAAGACAGCTGCTACGTAAGAAGAAAAAGGAAGGCTTTGTCAACTTTTGTGAGAATCTATCTCCAAATACTAGTGCAAAAGAAGTTTGGAGCAGTATTAGAAGGTTTGCTAAAGGTATCAGGTACCAAAATTATCATTTTCCCTTGAATTTCTCAATCCCACAAGATATGTTTGATCTTTTGACGCAACCTCCCTCTAGGTTGCCTAATATCCCCGAATGTCGCTTCTCATCAGAATATACAGAAGACTTCCATATCTCAGAATTTGTCGCGGCCGTTAAAGGTCGGAAGAGCAAGAGTCCCGGTGTGGATAAAGTACCTTTCAGTGTGCTCAGCCATCTCCCTGTTGAAGGAGCAGTCTTTCTTATCAAATTTTTCAACAAAATACTTCGGAGGGAAACCACCATTCCAGAGACGTGGAAAACCCAAATGGTGATCGCAATTCCTAAACCGGGGAGAGACCCCTCAGCGTTATCGTCCTACAGGCCCATCAACCTAGCTTCTTGCATAAGCAAAACTTTTGAAATTATGATCAAAAACCGACTGGAATGGTTCGTAGAGAACCAAGGTTTAATAGACGTTCGCCAAACCGGTTTCAGAAAGGGTAAGGGAACTTTCGACAATCTTGCAGTTATCTCCTCAGAGGTCCTCTGCCGTTTGGCTCGCAATCAACTAGCAGCAATGGTGACTTTGGACATATCCAATGCCTACGATAATATAAATGTTGACTTATTGACCTCGGTGTTGGCCAAAATTGGAATCGCCAGAGATTTGACTTTGCTCATTAAAGATTTTCTCACGAACAGGAAGATACAAGTTAAAGATCCATCTACTAATACATTCGTGTCAGGCAGAACCACTAGCAAGGGAGTTCCCCAAGGTTCCCCTCTTTCTCCATTACTATTTAATATTTACATCAATTCAATCAATGAAACAATTCCTGAGAACATAAGACTTTTACAGTTTGCGGACGATACCGCCTTGCTGAGTACTGGGACTGATGCCGAAACAATAGTGAACAATTTGAATAGAACTTTGCAAAATATACATATTTGGTCTTTGAATGTAGGACTTGAGATTAACCCCAATAAATCTGCAGCTATATTTTTTTCCAGGAAGAATTACAAGGTTAATTATCTCCCCAGACTTCACCTCAACACTCGAACCATTGCATGGACAAATTCCATCACATATCTAGGAGTGATTTTTGATCCAAAACTGTCATGGGAGCCACAAATTAGAAATATGATACAGAAAGCTTCAGGTGGGTTGAATATGATGCGATTTATAAGTAGAATCTGGTGGGGGGCACATCCCTCTACCCTTCTAACTTTTTACAAAGCTTATGTTAGACCCCATTTGGATTATGGAGCCTCTTTTTTGGGTGGTAGCTCAAGAAAGTCTATTGCTCAACTTAACAAAATTCAATTTGAGGCACTGAGAATAGCTCTGGGATATATGAAGTCCACACCTACTAACATACTTCTAGGGGAAGCAAGTGAAATGGATTTAGAACACAGAAGATACATGCTAGCGACTAAATCATTATTGAAAGCTGCCAGTTTAGTGGACAGTGAAACCTTAGCTGCGGTTAGATGGTTATATATCACCTATAATGAAAACTATTACTTTTTTCGGAAAAAGAGTATTCCTGCACTTGTGGATGCTT